CCGTCACCGTGCCCAATACGCCCCTGCAACCTTGAAGGATTTACATGCAAATTCAGAAACGACTAGAGGCTACTTATCCGCACTAGGTAGAAGAACAGGACCAGTAAATGTTTTTGTTATCGTTAACGAGCAATAACGAGATGGAATTTTGGTAGTAAGTGATGCTTGTAAGTGCACTCCATAGATATAATTGTGAACAATAGGCGGTCTGCATTTTTTTTCGCGTATCCACATATATTTTCGAACTCACGTACGCTGCAATCGATAAAATTGGGGTACTTTATAAGGATAACACACTTAGAGCAACCCTCTGTGAAAGCAACCCCCTTTCGAATCCCAGAAGGCAATTTTTTATTCTGAAAACAAAAACCACTATCGCTACACACCTATAAAATTTCAAAGATCGATTCTGTTTTACGAATATATACAATATATGTAGAAGTTCAGCATATCGTCAGTGGGTTCACATTTGCAAACAAAATTGGATCCACCCTAAACTGCGGGTAAACATTAATAAGTGGTGGTGTCTGGAACGAAATTTAAAAAAAAAAGGATGAAAGGAAAGTCATTAGACATGGGTAATTGATTCGACTAAATGAATGCGCCCAGTTTGAAATGAAAGAGACAATTTTTAAATGGAGGGTGGTTTTGTGCCACCGTCCCTGGTTTGTGGAATGATGGACCTTAACGATGAGATCGCGCCTCAAAGATTCTCCCGAAATTAACCGACGGTACCAGCGGGAGAGTCCTGAAAATGCGTAACTGTGGAAATAAGCAAAAGGGTGAATGTGAAATACAACGATCCCTGAGGCTGTGCTACTGTGATACACGTTTCACTTTTGAAATTAGAAACAGAAAGAGAGAGAGAGAGAGAGAGAGAGAGAGAGAGAGAGAGAGAGAGAGAGAGAGAGAGAATGATGTGAACGGATTACGTATAAAAGAAAAAACATAATCGGACCTTATATATAAATTCAAGCTAGTATAACAGATTGGACGAATTTGAAGTGATTTATCTTTGAACCAAAATAATTTCCAGTTATATTTCGTATATTCTACTTATTCAATTCTTCTGTATTTGAAATCGCGCAGCTTCGTCGCAGTCAATAGCTGCTGCCACTTTCTGTTATTGGCTGCCGACTGAACTCTAGCGGATTTCACGAGAACTAAGATTACAGTCTACGATGTTGACGTTTCAAACTACGCAACGTCTTTGAGATTAATGCAAAATATACAGATGCTGATTTATTACATAATTACTTAAACGAATTTATTATTACAAGGTATACTAAGTGTAAAAATACAACATGGCGATATTGATCCTGACCTCGGTGTCGTGTCGAGGGCAGCACAGACCGCCGATGGTAATATTTCATTAGCCTCTTTCTCAGCACGTGAATCGAGGTTAGTTGTTGGCTGAGATAAAATACATTGTGTCTCTGTATGCAGACAAATTTATCATCGCCACTACGCAGTAAACGTCCAAACACAGTAATCACTACACTGAGCTATAAAAAAACTTGCAAAAATCATCGCGCGAGTGAATTTCAGGAATAATTTTAACTACAAAGTTGGGGTTACGTAAGTTAACATTTTCTTTAATACTCTTTTTTCTAAAGTTCAAAGAAACGTTTCTGTTATCGCGCGAACTAAATTCCAAAGCCAATGTAAATTCGAGTCGTTGATTTTGGTAATTCGACAGGCACGCTTTCGATTGCCGTTCCTCTATCTTATACGTATACCTTGCTTACATATGGTCGGGTAAATCAAATGTTCGGAAATCTCGCGTCAAACAGCTTCGAAATGGCAGCTCAAAAGTATTTTGCTACGATTCCTCTGATCAATCATTCCTCAATCCCTATCAGTGGCTATGTACTTTCCAACGTATATACATATACGTTTTAGCAAACAAGTGACAGTGTAAACATTGCTATACGTTACATTCAAATATACAAACTGTGTCTAACGTGTTAACCTACTATAGCTTAAAATAAGCATAGGTATAAGATTCAGTATTGGAGTAAAGCACATCTAACTTATTGTATGACATTTCTATCGATAGGATATTTAATATTTTTCGTTGTATAAAAAACATGGTTTATCTAATTAATGATTTTCTTTGAATAACGTTATATCATTGCCTATAATACTGTTTCGCGATAAACTTTGAATAATAAATTTAAGATAATTCAAAAGTCAGTTTGAATTACTCGCGCTTAACTGTTTTCTACCACTTGCACGGGTAACGTTGTTAAGACAGGAACTTCTGCGAAACATTCAAGACGTCGTACCGAGAAAATGATGTTACTCGGCTTATACCGTATGTCGAAGTATTTTCCTTTCATTTTGCCTGGAAATATCCGCAGTAAAGTTTTAACCCGATGCAAAATGTTTAACTGAAATGCTTGTTAACGCGCTGTCTGAATACTCTCGTGTATAGTCGCCCATTCGTTTTACGTCGTTGCTTTGCAATATCTTCGTATTAGCTTTCGAAACTAGTGACATTTTCATCGACGGTTATTACACATGTGGGATAATGAAATGCTACAAGTCACATCCACACCATTGGATGTAAATAAAGTTTGATTAAAGTTTGGTCTTCTTTTACAGGTTATGTAAGAATGAAGTGATTATTTAGCGTACATAGAAAATCTCTCCAGACGTTTTACAGTGGAAACTAGTGACAAACAGTGATACATAGGAACGTGAGGATATTTGTGGGCGATATCTTGGAAAATAACGCGTCCTCAAAGCGTCGAGACGTGGATGTAATTTTCTTGAGAAATTGTGATGCAATCTAACTTTGTTTCGAGAACGGCAAATGCCCTGGGCGTTGTGTCGCGATGAATTTCATCATACATAAATATGGAGAGGTAATTTTTCGAGTTGTTTTTCAAATTGAAATATTTATCCGAACTTCGGTGAACCGTCGGTTAGATATAGGCTATGTCCCGTTATTCTTTTTTTTTTAAGGTTTGTGAACTCTCACCAACTAAACTGCAATATAAAATTATACGTTATGGTGTCTGACTTGCCGTATAAACCATGCTGGAAGCTAGGAGGTAATTGGGGTAATTGCAGAATTCAATTTTAATTTCCGTGGTCTAAAAGCCGGTCTTGTCGTAAAGCCCTCGACAGGGCCCGAGCTTTCGCATCCGGAAAGCTCGTTCGCGGATCAGTTTGCAGATTAATTTTGCTGCCATCCGGATTAATCCGACAATTAATGCTTACGTGTACAGCTGCACCGTGATAACACTGATAAAGGCACATTTTGACTAAAACCCATTGTCGCTACGATGCACTCATTTAACCCTGGAATGGCCGTGACATTTTGTTCTCCCTATGAAACGCATTGGGCTGCTGGGGGTGACTCAATCCGATTCGAGCAGACACTCCACGCCTTGACTTTCGGATTAATTAAAAATAAAAATTCCAATTTTATTGCACAGTTTATTTATTTTTTTCAAAAACTACTCTCCACGATTTTTTAAGCAAAAATAACCAACGGCTTCCAGCTTTCTTAAATAATGAACACCCCAAAAATGGGCAAAGCTCTTTTTTACCCTGTTAAAATTTTGATGTTTGATAAAGAGGTGTACCAGGAGTTTATGCGTGGGCATACGACAGAGGTAGAGTTCACGAAGCGAAACCTTGGCTGACACGATTCTTTTCAAAGGGTCGGCCAGTTTTAGGGTCACGTTTTTTTTTCCAACCCCATAAACTAGGTACATAAAACTGCTACGTAGGGCTCAAAGAAGGGTTGTAGTGCCACAGGTGTGTCATTCGTCAACGGTGTAACTCTTTATGACCAAGCTGATCTGTTCGACTAGACAATCCTCTTAACAGTAGTGTGACGTGCTCTGATATATATATATCGATGACCTTGTAAGGAAATAATACGTTACAAAAAATTTTTTTAAAAATTCCATGCATAGCTGGAGACTAAGAATTTTGAAAGAAATTAAAAAACCGATAAAAATTAGTTGCAGTAAGGTAACAATGAGTTTTCTTTACATCTTAAATTTATGTCGACATTCTTGTAGAGTCCGGCAATAAGGGTTCGTATGATAACCAGTGTACAGAGTGGGTAATGTAAATTCATAAAATTAAAGCACTCAGGAAATACAACTCCTCGGCGCCATCTTTTTTTCATTCTCCCTAATGTAAATGAAGTACCTCCTCAAATATTCAAGAATCTGGCCTCAAGGTAAAAGGAGACTCATATTACCTGAGACCTTTAATTCCAATTGTTTAATTCAAATTTGATTTAGGTTGAGGTACTTTTCGTGGTAAACCTACTTGAAGAAAATGGAAAGAAGAAGCCAGAAGGAATGAAATAAGGAAAATAAAGAATAACTTAACGAATAAGAAAAATAAAAAATAACAGAGTAAGGATTACGAGTATAGGAGTAAAGAAGAAACAAATGTGGAAAAATAGGATACAAATGGATAAGACGGGATAGCTTAAGATACCGGTATAGGCGACCGGCTGCGAATGAGCGCTCTAAGCCTAAGCACCTCGTAAGTGCCCGCCACGCGGTTCTAAGCAGCAATTCTGCGCTCCAACAAAATTTACAATTTCCAGCACTTCCGTTACCCACCGTGGTTCCTGCTTTTTCATTGTGTTAATGTATACACTGTAACGTAATTCTTTAACTTATGACCCGACACCGATAGCAAAACATACGAGAACGAACTATCTTCGAGAACCAACCTACGTTACCTTCGGCCGTCCACCCGTCGTTCGTGC